ACTACTACTACTATTACTACTACTACTAGTACTAGTACTAGTACTACTACTACTACTACTACTACTACTAGTACTAGTACTACTAGTACTACAACTACTTTTTTCCTTCCTTCCTTCCTTCCTTCCTTCCTTCCTTCCCTCGATTTCGTTTTTTTGATCCTTATTTGTTTTTTGATCCTTATTTGAACTTACCGATTTTTTTGCAAGATCGGAGAAAGACACTTACAAGTATTATGACACATCGTGGACGAACACTCGACCAGACAACATGCAAGCACTACGTGACCTGTTCCTGGAAATGTATGTGCCGGCCAGAGGCCCGGCAAAGCGCGCAAACTAGCTCTGGCCAAGCCTTTGTTGCCACAAAAAGGTGGATGGTATGGCCCACCAACTGCTACGTTTAGTGTTACGGTACTACTGCTGCCGCTGTAATCCGCTGTATGCTGTGACAGCGCAACAAAGGTGGATGATAAGGCCCATCTACATTGCGAAATGTATCATGACCATGTGACGCTTTGCGGGGGGAGGCATTGCGGGGGGAGGCGCTGCGCCCTCCCCCCTGCACCCCCCCACCCGCTTTTATTTTTTAATCAGCTTCCCTTGCTACCTGCTCTCTTTCATTTTTTCATAGGTATCGTTTCTTTGGGTTTATCTTCTCTTTCTTAATCTTTATTTATATCCATCGAGACTTGAGCCTGTGTGCTTCTTTCTTGGTACGCATTGCGGGGGGAGGCGCTGCGCCCTCCCCCCTGCACCCCCCCACCCGCTTTTATTTTTTAATCGACTTCCCTTGCTATCTACTCTCTTTCGTTTTTATTCATATGTATTCCCATTTGTTTTTTTTTGATCCTCCCTTTCCGCAGTTTCTTGACGATTTTCACTACGATCGTCCTTATTTGTTTTTTTTTGATCCTTATTTGTTTTTTTTGATCCTTATTTGTTTTTTTTTGATCCCTCGATTTTGTTTTTTTTGATCCTTATTTGTTTTTTTTTTGATCCCTTAGCCGGTCTAGGGGTCAGCAGAAGCTCAGAAATGAGCACATAGCAGCAAGTCATGACAGTCATGAAGCACTTGAAGCGCTTTGAAGCACCAATGGATATCCAATGGATATCCAACCTGCACCCAGTCAGTGCACCCAGTGCACCCAGTGCACCCAGTGCACCCAGTGCACCCAGGTTGTTTACGGAAATGCGGATTGGACTTCGTGCCGAAGCTTGGAGCCAACCCTTCAGTAGTCTCAGATTTGCTGCGCACTGGACAGTAGCTATGATGTTTGTGGTACCAAATCCACCAAGCCAAACATCGAGTGGTTTTTTGGTTCCTAGGACACAATGACAACACTATTCAAGATGCGCCTTGCTGGCACTGAGCTCTGCCACTGCGAACTCTTCAGATCAGGAGGACCTCAACCTTTCATGACCTGCTAGAAGCTAGCCACGATTCAACAGCCAAACGATCCATATCGATCCATGCTCCTGGAATTGCCGCTGGCAATGCTAGGTGCGACAGCGATCAGACTGGCCATATAGACTACACAGAGCAGCTTGGAGCAGTTTTGCCAGTCGGAGCCGGACTGTTTGCACATATTTTACACATGAATGTTCATAGCTCCGGGACACAAACGCAAGGTTCTTGCAGCACGTTTTTCCAATGGAAACGATTGAGGAGCACAGCAGTCACTGGTGCTTCGCTGTTGCGCAATAGGCTTTTTCATGCTTTTTCAATTCTTCACCCAACGTGTGGAAATCTTTGGATCTGCGAGGAGACCAGGAGGAGAGTCTCAAAGAAATACCGCGAATCGGGCAGAAAGGCCCGAGAATGACATTGTGACGGCACAGGGTGACATTTCCATCATGTGCATCTACTAGTCTTGGAGCTGACCAAAAATGGGGAACACCATGTCATGTAATACGCAAAATTGAGATGTTGAATGATTTTGATAAACTTTGATGATATTTGTTGTAGAACTTTGGCTTAAGACTGCTTTTACCGTTTTGGTGCAGGAGGGGGGGGGTATTGGTGCACGGCTGGTGCGCGGAAAAGGAAAATAGGGGCAAGGGTGGGTCTGGGAAGGGAAAAATAGGTGCGGGAGTGGGTTCTTGCCAATCTATGGATCCAGTCAGGATCCCGTCGGGACCCAGTCGGGCACCAATTTTTGCATTTTTGGGCACCGCTTTTGGCTAGTCGGGATCCAGTCGGGATCCAGTCGGGATCCAGTCGGGATCCAGTCGGGATCCAGTCGGGCACCAATGTCGGGAGGCAGCCAAATTCATAAAAAATAGCATTTTTGCAGTGTTTTTGCATGTTTTTCGATGATTTTGGCTGCTTCCCGACAGGTCCAAACGTGGTGCCAAAAATTCGAAAATTGGTGCCTGACTGGATCCCGACTGGATCCCGACTGGATCCCGACTGGCCAAAAGCGGTGCTCAAAAATGCAAAAATTGGTGCCCGATTGGGTCCCGACTGGGTCCCGACTGGGTCCCGACTGGATCCCGACCCGGTTTCTTCAAAAAAAGACCTATTTCCTTAAATTTGAGCACCTATTTTTGAAATTTTAGCACCTTGCCGTGCACCCCCCCCCCCCCTCCGGACCCCCCCCCACCAGTCTTAAGCCAAACACGGGCTTGGCAAGATATTTGATGTATTGACTTCAATATCTTCAATGGGGAAAGATCACAAACCAAATTTTATTTTTTTTGAGACCAACTTCGTGGTTATTTTCACGTTGATGCAGCTGACTCAACAAAGGTATATACACATCCTTCATTTCTGTGCCCAGGTGAGTGTAGCCCTGAAACGGATGAACACTGCTCAGGACTTGCACACCATATCCGCCACTTGGACGCACTTTGTTCTTTTCAGTGGATCAGGGATCAGGTAACGCTGTGTTCCAAAAGGCTTTCTGTCGAGTGCTTCCTATTATTTGCGTTTGCAATTCCACCAAGGAAAGCCAGATTGTACCAATCCCCAGCTCATGATGTGCCAAAATACGTGCGCTGATCTCGCATCCGATGAATCCCACAGCGCTGCCAATTTCAAGGTCAAAACGGCCTCACAGTAATTTATACTTCGGTTTGAATAGATTGGTGGCACACCACAAGAAGACAGGAGCGTTTTGTTCAGGTCAGACTTGAGTTGGTTTGACATCTTTGTTCCCTGATTTTTATCACCATTTTGCAGTTTACTCGGCAATGCCGTGCTGGCAGCACTACAGAAACACGCAGATGATGCACGAAGTGCATCTCTGTCAGATGCAGCTATACCATGGTGTACCATGATATTGCTGTTCCCCTAGATGCATGCGGAGGTATGCGGTTCTGCACTTGCAGACTGCATTTTTTTTTATCCTTTTTCTCGTACCTGGCTGCGAATGCAGGATCAGAATTGAGCGGCTTCTATTTCTGGTGATTCTTGGTGCCAACATCTTGACACTATGACTGGCATTGTTCCCCCCCTGTACATTACCGTGTTCATTCAGCGTTGCTCAGTGTAATCGTAGTTGCAATCCCAGCCGGCAGGGAATGCGACCTTCCACTCCGGTGAAGCGCTATCGAGCTGCGGCCTGAAATGTTGCCATGGATGCTGTGACGTATGTACTCTACCTATATAGGAGTTCTGATATAAGTGTGTGCAACATCATCAATCATTCCATACATTCCATACTCAGGTTGAAGTAAGCCTGTAGGATCTCTCTGACTGGCAAGAATCCCCTATGGCCCCCCCCCTCACAGGGCCCCCAATGGCCATTGTTCAACTCCTAGGTCCGTCTTTCTGCCGGCGCGGGTGGTCCTGATCCCAAGATGGGAGGACCTACGGCACAACTGGAGGTGTGGGGCTTACCTTGAAGACATGGGTCCAGGGGTGCGTCTGAAAATGGGGGTATATCGGTGTATCCATTGTGTATCCTCCATATGGATCCATATGGATCCATATGGCCATTTTGATAGGGATACTGATGATTAATTAAGCCAAAAAAAAGATAGGGGATTTCAGACTGACAAATCCAGAATCTTGATTCAGGTGAGCTATGGTCGTCTTTATCCAATGGAGACGTCAGACTCTTTGTGGGCTTGAGCTATTTGCATTGATATCCTGAAACCTTTCAAGCTTTGAACGTTTGTCATCGTTTGTCGACAACTTGGTCCATGCAACTGCTTCAGTTGAACATGTTGAACCTGAAGGCCAAGACTAAAGATCGACAAGGCCTGCCCACTGATGCCCACTGTGCCATTCTTTGCCTCGTCGCCAGATGTGAAATTACCAAGGTCGACAACTTAGCCAAGGAAGCGTGGCACGATCTCACCCAAAAAGTGCTGGAGGAGGCGCAGCTCCTCAAGACCGCCGGATAGGAAGGATGAAAACATCGTGCAATTAATATATTACAATTACATTTAATAATATAATATAACACATAATATTACATAATATTACATAATATTACATAATATTACATAATATTACATAATATTACATAATATTACATAATATTACATAATATTACATACCTACAATTACCTACATACGCGGACAGGGATCATTGGTTTCAGAAATGTTGAGACGGGCAAGGCCTAGCAAGTGCCAGGTTGACCGCGCAGCTGGCCAAGAGTGTGTTTTTCAGGCCTTGAGATCCTTGGGCCGCAATGGAAAACAAAGCGATGCCAGAACTGCGCGGTGCAAATCGGTGCAGGTTTGCTCCGTCATCTCTGAGCTGCTCAGGAAGGGTCATTTGCTATCCTTGAGCAAGATAGCTCGATCTTGAAAGCCTATATGCATGGCATATGCATAGCGTGATGTGACTGAGAGGCAGCACCATGACCCAAGCAACGAAATCCCACTGTACGCGCGAGACTTGGAGTTGGTGGGCCTCAGACGGAGCACCACCATCAAACACCAGTCAGATCCTTTCAACATGTCGCTGCAATTCCATTTGCCAACATCTATAGCTGAATCTAGCTGCTAATCTAGCTTCAACCTGACTTGGGGCTGAGGAGCGGATGCAAAGAAGAGAAGCAGAACAAGCTAAGCTGAAAGAGGAGGCGGTTCAACTGCCATCAACTTGGATCCAGTAGGATCCAGATTTCCTGGCAGGGGATCTGCAGGCACATCTTCCTGACCTCTTTGTAGCAGGGTCAACGGGTCAACCTTCCAGGCTGCTAGACATGACCGAGAGCTGGCCAAGAAGAAAGCCATGGATGAGTGGGAGAAGCAGAAGCAGGCGATGCTTCGACTCGTGTGAGACATAGATAGATACATAGACGACCATACTGATCATGAATAGCTAGATAGACAAGACCAGATAAGATTAGAATAGAATAGAATCGAGTAGAATTAGATAGACGGACAGTATAGACATATTATATTAGCTTGTTTTCTGTTGGAATTTGAACTTTCACCTGAACTTTATTTCCTGGTCACAGAGACATAGTCATAGTGGAGCTTTCTGCGACACGCATCGCTGCGAGCTGTCAGGCTGAACGTCATCGGATGGAACGCTATGAAGAGAAACGCCGTGCAGTTGCGCGGGTGCGGCACCCGAAAGCTGGTGACATCTAGATGTCCAATGGGCCAGTGGATGGCAGTGGCATGCTGCACTTTGTTTTGTTCAAATCTGTGACATTCTGTCGTGGAAGGTTGCGGACGGCATGGCCCTCGGAAGCCGAACACACTGATACTGGTATAGCAGATGATTTAACATTGCAGATTCCGATTGACTTCTGATAGCATTATTGCATATCAAAGAGTTTTGAGTTGCTTGACGATGACTTGATGTTTGTGCACATTTTTGGCAATTGCGCTTGGTAAGGTTTGGTGTTGTGATTCTACCAAGCTGTTTCGTTTTCAAGGTGCAATGTGGAGCAATGTGACATGTTGGCACCAGGTCAAAGGAGTGTGTAAAGACACTGCCTGGTGCAACAGAGCTCCATAATTCGCAGCAGGACTTGAGTGTAGAACAGTGTAGGATTTTAAGATCTTTTAAGATCTTTGAGGCATCAAGTGAGGCGTGGCCGGTGCGACCGCTGCAACACATGGAGGCTTTGCGTGAGCTCCTTTGCAAAGAAAGTGCAGCTGCTGAAAGTGAGTGGGCCAATGCGAGCAAGGTACTGTCAGATGCCAGGACGAAGGACGATGACTTGCGAGCTGAAGTGAAATGGCGAGTAGCTGAGAAGCAGGCTGCAGAACGTGCGGTTGCTGAAGCTGAATCTCGCCATGCCATTGCAGCCGCGGCCCTGATTCAAGCGGAGAAACAAAGTCTGACTGCTGCTGCGACCCTAGCGCAGAAGCAAGCCTTGCTGGGACAGCTCTGGGATCATGAAGCGCAACTTCTACAGCAGTCAAAGATGGCCGAGGAAGCAAAGCTGGAGGCTCAACAGGCCAAGGCCAATGCCAAGGAAGGACAACAACGGCTTGAGGAAGCTCTACAGGACCTCCGGTCCATAAGAGCTCAACATGAACATGAGAAGTACATAGCACAAGCCTTGCAAGAACAGAATCGGAAACTGACCGCGGACCTGAGTTGTCTTCAGGAACTCAGGAAACAGGATGAGCTGAACCGTAGCCAATTAGAGCTGATTAAAGCTGATAAGGACATATTAGAGAGAGAGGTCAGGTCCCATCAATCAGAGAAGGAGATTCTATCAGAGAAGTGCAGCAGAGCTGAAGTGCAGCTCTTGGAGATGAAGTCGCGTGAGGATCGCATGTCTGGCCAACTTTCAGTGCTCCAAGAGGCGTTGAGAACTGCTCAAAATGATGCTGCAGCCTTGCGGGCCCGCTTGGAGTCTCGAAGGTCTGGATGTATTGAAGGACCAGACCTTGCCAGCTCGGTGAGGGGTGCCCAACTCTGTCCTCCTGATGGTAGAAAAGCCTCAGAAACTGGCTGCCAGCCCCAGGCGTTCCAACCCTGGGAGAGCATGCAGGCGATGCAAGGCCTTGCAGCTTCTGCCTCAGGGGTCGTCCAAACGCCAGACCCTCCCAGCAATTCAGGTCCACCAGCTAAAACAGGCCGGGATGAGACGAAAGATGAAGAGATGGGAGGTGACGGTAATGCAGATGATCCTGTGCTCGGACACTTTCCTGATACACAAATTGATGAAGATGCTCCTGCAAAGCGCCCACGTAAGGCGGAACCGCAGCTGGGCCAAAAGGTGGGCCAGAATGTTGAAGGAGTTGATTTGCTGAAGAAGGCTCTGAATTTGAATAGTCCTGGATCATCGCTTCCTTCGCCTTTCAGATCATTCGGAGAGCCACACGTGACTGGGCAGCCTTACACACCACAATCACCACCGAGAGAACGTCCCAATCTCTCAAGGCAGAGAGGCTTCATGGGTTTGACCGAAACAAGTGGGCCAAGCAAGCCAAACAAATTAGTTCCAGGGGAGCATGGGAGAGCTGCTAAGCGTTCAAAAGAAGAGGTTGAGAGGCTTGCTCACTCCATGTTCTACGCAAAGCCGCAGCCGAGACAACTGCGTGCTCCACCTTTGAAATTATATCCCGCACACATTGAATATGTGCTGTCAAACTGGGATGCGTACATTGCAAAATATGGCCACGGTGATGGAAGTAATGGTCCTGCCAGTCTTGCTTCAAAGTTGGAGAGAGAAAGATCAAACGCATCAAAGCCAGAGGGCCACCCTGCACCAGGTGCCTGGCAAGCTGTACAGGATTTCCTGAAGGCGTCGGCGAGCGAAAGTCCGCACAGTCCACAGCGCATGCGTTGCATTGTGTCCCGAGCCTGCGAAAAAAAGGAAGGAGGTGGTGGCAAAGGTGGCAAGATGTAGCGCCAGTTACTGACGTGTGGATACGTGTTGTGGTTTCGACATGTTTCAAATTTCAACATGAAAAGCATCACCATGCCCTCTCTGCGTGGGCTCTTGCTGTGTTGAGGTGGGGGCACCTTGGATTTTCTACCAGAGGACTCTGAATTGGGACTTCAAGGTGCCTAGGGGTGAAACAACATGAAACAACATGAAACAACATGAAACAACATGAAACAACATGAAGCAACATTTTGACACGTACCGTGACAGCAGTAGCAAGCAGCGGAATCATGGGTCTGAGGCCCGAGAGTCCCTGGGCCACCGCCAGCGCCACAGCCGTCACAGCCTCAACTGCAGCCTGCATGAACTCGGTGCAACTTTGGCCGCACTTGTTGATTTTCTATGATTTTCTATGATGGTCTTACGCCTCATATCATCTCCCGAGGACAGAGAAGCCACAAAAGCAGGTGTACGAAAAGGCAGCAAGATTCAAGGGTGCTAACATGTGCTAACATTCTCTTGAATTGCAAGATCCGTGCCAAGAGTAAGGCGATTCAAAGCTGAAGTGCTACATGGCTGACAGGCAATTGAGCGCTGCAAATCCCCTCCTCTGAAACCTTTTGAGGAAGACATCTCCTCCCGTTTTAAAGGCGCGCTGCTGTTGGCTTTCTCATTGGGGAGCCCTGAGGCAGAGATTCACGACTCTCTGCAGCCTGTAGGTGGTGGCCGTGTGCGCGCTCCATCGGAGAGCAGCAATGAAGGCTCCGTGAACCAGCATGATTCGGGACAAAGATTTGTGTGCGATCCCATTGACTGACATTAATCACTGTAATTGTAAGCATAATAATATACCCTCAAGTTGGAAGGTTCTAGAATGCCCCCCCCCTGGGGATAAACACGGAGGGTTCTAGAATGAAAAATTTTCATTGTAGAACCCCCGGTCCCGTAAGCATTGTAGAACCCTGGAAGCTTCTATAATAGCATATGATGATCTATGGTGCAGGTTTTGTGCAGGTATTTGTGATCCCTAGTGAGCCGGTGGTTGAAAGCCATTTGCCAGTTTGATCCTCCTGTTGAAACTGTGGTTTTGGTGATTTGCAAGGCTCGATTGCATTACGTCGCAACAATATTGCCGAACCAATGCCATTCGGCACAAAAACCCAGAAGGATTATATACAGATACATGGTAGAAAAATTAACAAAATCACAGTTCAGTTTGTTTCTTGATCTCAGTACATGGTAAGAACATTTCTGATTGGGGGAACTTGTGGGTTCAGCTCAGTTTTGAAGTGGTTAGCTGTACCTTTACCTTTGCATTCACCCCAACAATGCATGGTTTTTTGAGTTTATTTTTTGCATGTTTGCTTCTTTTGCCGTCACCTGAGGCACACATAAAGTGGCTTTTGCATGTTGTGTCACAAGAGGCTGCAAAATCCCGCGTCGAAAATGTACGTGCATTTGCTAGAGATTTGCATGCATTTGGGCTGTTCTTTTGATTTAATTCCGAAAAGGCGTGGGCCAAATATTGTCTAGCTCCACATCTCTGAACGAAAGGGCCAATAGGTGAAGTGAGCGGCAAATTGGTAGGTAGAAAAATTCCCCACTGGAAACAGCTGTAGTGACACACACAAACGAATTTCAGGGAAAATCAAGTCAGCTAAAACTGTGCCTGTCATCTTTTGTTCTTCTACAAGTAGACGAATGCCTGTGCAACAAATGAACATATCTAAGCTATCTAAGCTATCTAAGCTATCTAAGCATACAACAGTTCTAAAATGGTTTCCCCTTGCAGTAGCTGGTATTTCACACGTTTGGCCAAGCAGGAAACCATTCCAGAACCCTTCCCAAAGATAAATACCTCCAGGGGTATGTAGGCAGGTACAACCCAATGCCAATGAATTTCAGTGATAATCAAGTCAGCTAAAAACTGTCTCTGTCACCTTCTGTTCTTCTACAAGTAGACCAGTGCCTGTGCAACAAATGAACAAATGAAAGTTACCTAAGCATACAACAGTTCTAAAATGGTTTCCCCTTGCAGTAGCTGGTATTTCACACGTTTGGCCAAGCAGGAAACCATTCCAGAACCCTTCCCAAAGATAAATACCTCCAGGGGTAGGTAGGCAGGTACAACCCAATGCCAATTAATTTCAGTGATAATCAAATCAGCTAAAAACTGTTTCTGCCATCTTCTGTTCTTCTACAAGTAGACCAGTGCCTGTGCAACAAATGAACAAATGAAAGTTACCTAAGCATGCAAATGTTCTAAAATGGTTTCCCCTTGCAGTAGCTGGTATTTCACACGTTTGGCCAAGCAGGAAACCATTCCAGAACCCTTCCCAAACATAAATACCTCCAGGGGTAGGTAGGCAGGTACAACCCAATGCTAATGAATTTCAGTGATAATCAAGTCAGCTAAAACTGTTTCTGCCATCTTTTATTCTTCTACAAGTAGACGAATGCCTGTGCAACAAATGAACAAATGAAAGTTACCTAAGCATACAACAGTTCTAAAATGGTTTCCCCTTGCAGTAGCTGGTATTTCACACGCTTGGCCAAGCAGGAAACCATTCCAGAACCCTTCCCAAACATAAATACCTCCAGGGGTAGGTAGGCAGGTACAACCCAATGCTAATGAATTTCAGTGACAATCAAGTCAGCTAAAACTGTTTCTGCCATCTTTTGTTCTTCTACAAGTAGACGAATGCCTGTGCAACAAATGAACAAATGACAGTTACGTAAGCATGCAAATGTTCTAAAATGGTTTCCCCTTGCAGTAGCTGGTATTTCACACGTTTGGCCAAGCAGGAAACCATTCCAGAACCCTTCCCAAAGATAAATACCCCCAGGGGTAGGTAGGCAGGTACAACCCAATGCTAATGAATTTCAGTGATAATCAAGTCAGCTAAAACTGTTTCTGCCATCTTTTGTTCTTCTACAAGTAGACGAATGCCTGTGCAACAAATGAACAAATGAAAGTTACCTAAGCATACAACAGTTCTAAAATGGTTTCCCCTTGCAGTAGCTGGTATTTCACACGTTTGGCCAAGCAGGAAACCATTCCAGAACCCTTCCCAAAGATAAATACCTCCAGGGGTAGGTAGGCAGGTACAACCCAATGCTAATGAATTTCAGTGATAATCAAGTCAGCTAAAACTGTTTCTGCCATCTTTTGTTCTTCTACAAGTAGACGAATGCCTGTGCAACAAATGAACAAATGAAAGTTATCTAAGCATGCAAATGTTCTAAAATGGTTTCCCCTTGCAGTAGCCGGTATTTCACACGTTTGGCCAAGCAGGAAACCATTCCAGAACCCTTCCCAAAGATAAATCCTCAAGGTGCATTGTCTAGGGTGACATCTCTCTGTCATAGCTGCCCAGCCCCCCCAAATATCCCAAAAGAACAAATGTCCAATCAGTGGCGTCCTGATGAAGGTAGGCAAACTTACCATTTTTTAAGTGACAGCTGGACAGCTGTAGTTCGACACACACCTGCTTGCTGATTCCGCATGTGATGATTTGTTCCTTGTTTTTCTCCTTTGACGCAAAAAACACTATTGTTTTGAAAACACTGCATGTAGGAGTTTGCTGTTTTATTGAAAATTTATCTGGTTGGACATGTCTGCATAAAATTAAACAAACAGTCGCACGGGAAATGGAACGAGTCCACAACTAAATTCGTTTGAAAAGGGGTGACTTAGGGGACATTCTGAAAGCATTTGGGTTTGGGTGTACTTTAATGGTTTGGCAAGAAAGGAAGCAAAGAGCGCGGGCAAAAACCTGGCTCCATAGGTAGTAAATGATACGACCATCTGTGGCCGGGCCGTCACCCATTGAAAAATGTTGTGGAGTATCATGGAGTGCTCTTTGCAGGTTTTTTTTTGATTCGCCTCATGTTGATCTATTTTTTTGGGGCGCAGATTTCCTCATCGTTTTTTCCTGAAATGCGATGGTTTCAACAAGGAATTTTTTAATATGTTTTAATGATTTTTTAAAGGGTGGAAGATACCATTTCAGAACCCATTTTAGAACCCAAAAACGGAATAGCGGCCAAGAATTTTAGGTTCTAAGACCCCCCTTGTAGATTCCATTTTAGAACCCATATTTGGGTTCTAAAATGGTCCCCAAGGGGGTTCGAAGCAACTTGAGAGGATATAATAATTATATATACATTATATGCATAATATATAATAATTCTTTAATATAATATGATCTTTAAGTGCTTGCGCCCGACAGCCGGCCAGGGGCCCACTTGAGGGTAAAGGATCATAAATAGATTGTAAAGAAGAATTGAGGGTAAAGGATCACACATATGTTAATATATATATATATGATAAATAATAAAGGGTCGCATGGGAAAGCCAAAAAACCGTAATTTGCGGGGTGTTTGTAGTAGGGTCGGCGGTTATTATTGTTAATTGTTGTTGTTGTTGTTGTGGTTGTGGCCCAGCCGCAAGGTCTGTAGTAGGCGCATCTTGACAACACCTTCGTATCCTTCCTCAAATTCCTACCCAAATTCCAAAATGCTGCATATACCGTGCCGTTGAAATGGTAGCTTCCAGTGCCAAAATGTTGCGCATGGGAAAGAAAACGGATAGGGCAAAGAATAAAATTTCGAAGCAATTCCGAACCCCTTCCTCAGTGGCTCTACCCCCTTGCTATCCTTCTCCACCGCCACCACCACCACCACCACGACGACGACGACGACTACTACTACTACTACTACTATTACTATTACTACTGCTGCTACTACTACTACTACTGCTATTACTACTACTACTGCTACTGCTGCTGCTACTACTACTACTACTACCACCACTACTACCACTGCTACCATTTTTTTTGGATCCTAATAAGTTTTTTTTTTCTTTGGGGGGGATCCCTGTATTATTTTTTTTGATTCTTACAATACTTTGTTTTTTGGTCCTCCACCTCGCATCTTGGGGCGAGGTTGGCCCAGCTGGCGGCTATGTTGGCCCCTCTTCGACCAGCTTGGGGCCATCTTCGGGGCTATGCTGGCCCGTCTTCGATGGGTTGCTCCTGAAAGACAATTGAGAATCACGCAGGGGAATGGCAGAGCAACAGGCTCTTACGAAATGATGCCTTTTTTGGGGATCAGGGTCCGAGCATGCAAGCAAGACTCATACTTAGAAAAAGATAGATCCGGGCGAAATATACCTCCCTACAAAATGTGGGGGGGTGCTGCGAAGAGCTGGTTGATGCAGAAAGCCTTACCATTTTGTATGGAGCAATTTTAAATTGCACCCATTCATTTTGTAGGCTTTTTGCAAGACCCTGCGGTTAATGGCTACAAGTAGCGGGGGCTGACCTGGGGTGAATTTCAAGGGGATTAACATAATATCGTATAATTAATGCAATATAATTTGATATAATATAATATGATATAATTTAATATGATAGAATGCAATATGATTTGATATGATATAATGGAATGCAATGTCACATATATGTAACATAATCTTTTATAATATATTTTGTCTCAACAAAATATAACAGAACACCTTTCATTTGATATAACCCAATGTAATATAATATAGTGTAATACAATATAATGTAATATAATGTCTATATTGTGCAACATCATGTTCTGGAAATACGCAGCGCACACACACAACCACACATTATATGTATACATATAGTGTAACATCATTAAACCATATACAAAACAAAATATATCATATTATATGAAATTATATTATACTATATTGTATTATACTATGCTAGATTATATTATATTATATCGTATTTTAATTTTTAAATTGCCATCTTATATTATATTACCTTGTCTTATCCTATATTATTTCATTTTAAATTGAATTGCAATCTATTTTAAAATAAAATGCAATATTTTATTATTTTACATTATTTATTATTATTATTATATATATTATTTTTTTAAAAAAAATATACAGTGTTATATTTTATATGATATTTTCTATTATATATTATATTATATTTCACTGTATTATATTACATTATTTCATGTTATATTAAATTATACTATAATTTATTAAATTATATTTTTTTATTTGGTATTATATGATATTAGTCTATATTATATTATTTTTATTTTTTTAATTATATTTTTTTGTTATATTATATATAGTATATCATGTTTTATTTTACTATGTTAAATGTTGTTATATTATATTATTTATAGTAGAATATAGCATATTATATTTTAGTATAATTTCTTATATTGCATTATATTGTCTTATATTATATGTGCCGAACATGCATCCTTTGAATGCCACTGCAGCCTTGCAGATCTTGCAGGCACCCTGCCTTCCTTTTCCGCGGGCCTTTCCTCAGGCTGAGAAAAGCGGCCGAGTTTCCATTAGTCGACCTAGGGACAACGCAGGGCTGCATAGGCTAAGAGATAACAGAAAAGTTTGTTTTTCTGGTCAAAAAAACCAGTAAGGGGTCAGAAAATCTCAGATCAAACTGTTGTTGTTGTTGTTGTTGTTGTTGTTGTTCACAGCCCAACCTCTCTGCCCTGACGCACTCCCCCTTGCTGTCTGCCGGGCCCTGCATCGCCTCTGAACCAGGCCCGTTTGTTTTTGTGGCCAGTGTCAAAGAGGACAGCTCCAAAATGTAGAGCGTTTCCTGTGTGCCCAGTGGATGCGCCATGATGCGCCATGATGTGCCCGTAAATATATACAATAACGCAATACGGAGATGGTGTATGTATGTAAACAGGCGAAGGACAACAAAATAACAAGAATTATATGAAAAAGTGTAACCAACATAAAATGAAAAATCACTAGCCAAATGACGAGTTCCAGCTGCAAGATACTACAAACATTATGAAATTTTGCCGCAACAATGAGAGATTCAAACTCGAAAATTATAGAAGAAACGTGCAACAGTAAAATGTTGGTTTGAGAAAGCAGCACATACAATGCAAATTTCAGATGTTTTTTTTCAAAAATGACAGCTTTGCACTTAGCATATTTTTTCATATTTTTGCTTAGAATACATATATTTTTTTCAAACCAGATGTATAATTATACTCTTGAGATCTCTTGAGATGATTTGCCTGTGAACGCATGCTTTGCACAAGGGTGCATGCGTACGCTCGTTCAGACTTGCACACTTGAGACCTGAATACGATTATCCAAGAGATCTAAGAGAGTCAGGGTTCAAGGTGATTGCTCCGCGATGTCAAAGGTCTTTTCCATGAAACTGTTCCCATATCGATGCAAGTTTGCTTCGCCTGCAGGACCCACCCTTGGAAGTTCTTGAAGCAAAGGCAAGCTGCCAAACTTGTCATAGAATAGGGATCTGATTCAGCTTTTCTGCTTTCACCTTGGCGCAGGCTAAGCCAAAAGCAAAATCGAGTCCAAAGATGAAGCCGTCGTCTCCCAAAAAGAGTTGCTTGGTGGAAAGATTAGGCAAGTGCGATGACTACTGATTTGACTTTTGGGTGAAGGTCAGCCAGACTTTCTTCCTGTGGAAAAGAAATGATGCAGAGTGCTTGGGCCCCCTTTAGAGCCACACTGAAAAGCGTGAAGACAGCAACAGCTGAAAGACATTGCCATGTGGCCAGACCATGTGCTTACCGGAAGGGCAACCATCCTTGGGTTTCAGCCTCAGCTGAGGTTTGGCAGACTCAAGACTGGAGTGTGGCTCCTGGAAAGTCGCATCAAGCTCTTGGACAAGACAATTGTAACGTAGCAGACTGCAGCAGCATTTGCGGATATTTGCGGCATTCATTGATGTATTTGATGTTCATTGGACATCATTGGACATTTCAGATCATCTCAACAGCTTTGACCACAATGACTTGAAAGGCATGGTAAGGCATGGTAAGGCATGGTAAGGCATAGTAAGCCTAAGGCTGCATGCCATTGACTGGGGCCTTCCTCACGTTCCTCAGCCATGTATGGCTCAAAAACACCTGTTTCATCCTGCTTCTGTGCTCATGGAAGCAGGCACCAACATGGCCTGCCTAGAGCAGGTCATTGCCTGGCCGTGAAATGGCGTTGCCAGAAATCGGCCCTGAGGCTTCAAAAAGCCACGAGTCAAGGGAGGGACTGCAAGGGCTGCAAGGGTCACGGGCCTCGAAGAAGTCGTCACACTTAAAAGCTGATAATCTCCGAACAAGTGTCGCAAGTGTTGCTGGTGCAACTCAAGACGCCGAGGGTCAACGCTCAACCTCCCTGAAAATACCTGTACAGCCATCACTTTCTAAGCGTTCTGTTTCCACCCTCGGCACAAGTCGAAGTGTGTGGAGCAGCAACCGGTGGCTGGCAGAGTGTACGGCAGGATTGAAAGCAACTGAATCCAAATGTTGGAGTCAGTTGTTGCAAAATCTCACTGGGGAACAGGTGAAATGGGGATCAGCGAAAAGTCCCAAAGCGCCCACAGCACCCAACAAGCGGCGACTTGCCAAAAAGGCGGTGCATGGCATTTTGCTTCGGAAACCGAACCAACGTGTGGTGAGTCATGAAGATCGCCGTATGGTGCGAAAGGAATTGTCACGGGAGTCAGTGGCCTTTTCGGACGATGCGCTTGAGCATGAGCGTTCATTGGACACGAGGAGCCGGAAGAATCCCAGTTCCTCGGCACAAAGGACATCCAGTGACATCCAAGGGATGCAGATGATGCAGCTGTTGGATGCATGAATGGGATTCTATAGTGAGACCCAGTAGAAGTCCTCATTTGCAACCTGCTGCTATAGTTTCCACATACTAAGTTACTAGTACATACCCGTACACTTTCAAACATATGCGTGCCTTTGTGTCAATTCACACGCGCACACGCACAAACGCATGCACATCAACAGCAAGAGCTTGGTCTCTGACATTTTCAGACCTCATCAAGTTTCTGCATTCTTTCAAGGTCTGGTGGCGTCAAATACTGTCGATCTGCCAGTTGAAAACGGCACAGATTTGACCCGGGCATCCATCGCATCCATGGCATCCCGTTTATCCTCCGATTCAGCTGAAGCCTAAGGACGCAGATGTGGCAGATGTGGCAGATGTGTAATCAGTGTGTTGTTTATGAAATCGATTGCTCGCCTGGCAGCAGATTGCACATGGCAGCATTTCCAAGGTGGACCTCCTCGCCGTGGCCGATATGAAGCAAAGGATGAAACAAATTGTGCACAAGCGTTTGCGCAGCGTCCGTGAAAGTGTGTTGAGGCAGCGGAACGAGAACTATGCCCAAAAGTGCCTTTTCAGCAAATCACACAGTCAGAGTCGTGGAATTCTGTCATCAACCTCACCATGCAGTGATTGAAGCACTGTCTTGGACAAAGTTGGATCTGAGCTGGATCTGAGCTGGATCTGAGCTGGATTTGCTAGCAGACAACAACCAGTCTTGAATGCCAATTAACCTGGCCTGTATCAGAAAGCGCTGGAACAGAGACAACTCGCCAGAAAGGACGAAGAGACGAAGACATCATTTTAAGTCATCTCAGAACGTTGTTTTATGCGTCGCACGCCGAGGAGGTATGAACGGCTTCCTCAAAAGGAAAGGGAGGCGCTTGAGCGTGCATTCTTTCAATACGATGCTGACCTATCCGGCTTTTTGGAGTGGGACGAAGTGGTCCCTGCACTCAGAGCAGCCTACCTGCAGTTACGCATTGCATTGTTAGGCAGACTCTAGTCTATGAGAGAGCGGACGCAACAATATGTTGCGATTTTCATGACTAATTATTATTAATCGAAACCAAGGAGCTTGGCTTATCTGGATCAAATGCTATTGAGAAGCGAGATGCTTGGCCAACCAAGATGACGCTCAAGGATGCTTAAGGAAGAGTGAAGGTGCTGCACTACCAAAGTCGGAGTTTTAGTCGTCCCCGTGAGCTGACAGCGAACCAACTCCGAGGAGATTATCCAGGTTTGTCGCAATGTGGTGACTGCCTCCCAAATGCAAAGCATACACGTTGGCACAACATCAATGAACTTGCAGGAGGCAGGCAGACCTTGATGGATCTTGATGGACTCCTGGACGCTTCATGGGTCTTCATGGATTCAACATGGTTCAACCGTTCAGTCACTTGCTTCAGGTCTTGAATCAGCAGCGGAGCCGCATGCAGAATCAACCCCGGGTCAAGCTAGGCGTCGTCAGGAAAAAGAGAGGACCCATGCATGTGAAGCATCAAATTATAGCAAGTTTCAAATCCTACCAGTGTTCAAGCCTTCCTTAGAGACGACGAGACCGATATCACAATATGCAAATATATGCAAATATATCAAATATTAAATAATCAAACATATAATATGGATACACACATTTTGAATCTTTTTAGCGTCTTCTTCCACTTAATTTCCAATGCAATTGATAGCCCCTGGAAATATCACCAGCATCCGCAGGCCAGGGTCTCGTGATGGGCAAGTGGTGAGGGAAAGTTTGGTGCCCTATGGGCGTGCGAAATCTGAGAAAGCTTCACTTGACATTGTGCCCCAAATGGCATCAACAGCCATGCCTTAGTCTGACTCTAGCTCTGCCAGGATCCAAAAAACGCTTAACAACGCAAACCTCTGGAGTTGCTTCGGATACTTTGGCGTGCATCAGCGCAGGCAAGGAGAAAATTAGACGAACACTTGACATTGCATCATTGCATCCTTTTCTGACCTTTTCTGATCTTTGCGGTGTAACACTTGTTGTGAACAGGCGAGCATGATTGCAGTGTGGGGTCAGCCGGGCAGTGTGTCGTGCATAGCCTTATTAGCCTTGTCTGTCTTGGTCTGTACAATAAAAATATAATATAATATAAAAATATATTCTGCATTATTCTGCTGTTTTAAACATTTTAGTTGAGACGCCAAGGAGACCAAGGAGGCTGAAGCAAGAGCCTCTACCAAGCCCCAGCCGGGTCTCGGTTCGGAGAACTCCAGCCGGAGAAGTAGCAAGGCTTCAGGATCAGAACAAGCTTCCGGAAGTGAAGGAAGTGACAGTGAAGACTTCGATACTGGTGCCAATGCGGAGCCATTTTCAGAAGCTTCCTTCAATTTCCTGACCTTTGTTGGGATTTTGGTACCCAAGGTTCGCCAGCGCCTCACAGAGCTCCAGAGTACCAAGATCATGCGTTACTTTTGCAATTTCGATCGGGAGGGCGCTGGAACCGTTTCTGTCTTCAAATGCTTGGAGATCGCCAGATGCCTTCGAATGGAGCAACATTTGATGGTCGAAGCTTTACAAGTCCAGGGCTTTGAGAACGAACCCGGAGTATCGGTTGATTTTGATTCCTTTGAAAGAGCCATCATGACTTGCAGGGAGCACACCAATCGCCAACTAAGAGAGCGGGAAGTTGACATCTTGGTGGAGATGAAGGTGTCACCTACCCTTTTCGAAGAATGCAGGGATGACATTTTGCAGATCTATGAGATTTTCCGAAGACTCTCCGGTGACGCTGGTTCCATCGGTGTGCTCACTGCCAACGATGCTTTTCTTTCAGTCTATGAGCTGGGCCTCATGCCCCGGCATGGATGGCAGCGGGAGTGTGTGAAGTATTTCCTGGTGCCGGAGGATTCTGATGATCATGTCTATATGAACACTGAATTGAACTTCGAAGAGTTCTTGGAGTTCTTGAGGCCAGCCGTTTTTCAGCGCTGATTTGTGCTATCCAAGCAACCAGTGAGGTCGCGCAAACACAGCAAAGAATCAGCACAAATCGTCAGATGGGTTGCTTAAAGTTCAAAGGTGAAGCTATAGCATTTAAATTTACTAAATTAAACAATACCCAAAAAGTCCGAAGGCTGTACTTTTTGAGTCCTTGCCGAAGAGGTTCTACGGCCGAGGGTTTATAGCAATGTTGTTGGATTCCACGGCCGAGGGTTTATAGCAATGTCATGGGTTCTACTCTACGGCCGAGGGTTTATAGCAATGTTCACTCGCGATTCACTCACGATTCACTCACGATTTTAGAGCCGCTATATGTACCTTTTAGGTCCTTTACGTGCGTACCTTTTAGGGCCTTAGGGACCTACCTTTTGAGGTCCCACTCATGAATACTCACGAAAACTCACCATTTCTCACGATTAAGGATATTATATAATAATAGCAACGTTCCTTTTTAGGTCTAAGACCTCAAAAGGTACATCATGAGGATTTTACATGGACGTACTTTTTTGACCCACTTTCTACGGATTTTCATGAGGACGTTCTATTTGAGGTCCTGGACTTCCAGGGATATTTTATATTTATTTTATATTATTCCCGGTTTGAGAGGGCAGGAGCTCATATGCAAGGACTTGACTGAACCAAGCCTGAAACTGAAGGATCCTTGAAAGACCGCAAGGCACCTTTCTTCTACCATTCTCGCTTGCACGACGTACTTGTGGTGTGAGGTGATGATGCGATTTGGAACCTGTGGATACCTGGGTTGTACATGACCCACACGGTGGGTTTTTGATCCAGGGTATGTCATGACACATCAACTTTTTTGCGTGAGCATATGCACCAGAGGGATATAAAGCCATTTTCGTATATCTTCGTACTGCTTTTCATGTAGTTAGATGGTGTACGCAGTAATGTTATGTAATGTTTACCTCTTGGAAAGTCCAATGATGAAGATAATTCATGAGTTGATGGTGATGATTTCCCGAAGAAATGATAGAAATGCGCGCTCTATTCGTGGTTCTGAGGGTTCTGCAGTGTAAAGGTATACTACAGTGTTCATGTGCCTCTTCTCCGCACCCATCTGGCCCCGCAGGAAGGTCCGGCATTTCAACGATGAGCAACGCTTAGAAGAGCTCCAAGCAAAATTTCAACGCTTGGATAAGGCGAGCGATTAAGAACATTAGACATGCACCAGAACCTTGAACACAGGTATTCTGGCAAAGTTTGTCTCGTGTTTTTTCTTTTCAATCGTGATCCGTTTGATTTACAACAGCCTCATTGGCCGGTGGTTCCAAACATGTTTTATATTGTTTTATCATTTCTTATTTCTCATTTTTTACACGACAGTCCCAAGTCCCAAGGACCAATAATAATAGACGAATACGTATATATATATATAAATATCTGGGTAAATTATAACGACCTCACTGCGACCTCACTGGAAATCATGGTTAATAAGGGAAATCATCCCCAAATGGCCTGAATTCAGGTCAGTGAAATATTGTAATTTACCCATATATATATATATATAATTTGTATATAATATATGTATGTATATGGCTTGAACCATGTTGAAACCACCCATCAAGGGTTTCAGGAGAAAGCAACACCTATTCTGTGACGCGCATCGGCACAGGACCGCAACGGAGTGTTGGACATGCAAGAGCTGCACGTCCTCCTGGAGGAGTAGACATGTACAGTAGACATGCTGTACATAATACACGTATGTTTATATATATACATATACTACACACACACATATATATAATTATATATATATAATTATATATATATAATTATATGATTTTATAATATATAATAATTTATATATATATATATATATGTGTATATGATGTGACAGGTTGAGTTTTTGGCGATTAGGCAAGATGAAGGGATCTCCAAAAAAACCTCTCTCTGAAGCCGGAGGAATCTCAATGCAGTCCGCGGACTCGACACTTGGGCGGCACGATCTCCCATGAACTGAAGCGGCGTTGAAGTAAAAGTTCAATCGACTGAGACTTACATTAATAGTACCCTCTTGTAATGACTAACATAGCGAACTGGAAAGATCCACCATCTTTAATGGGAAAATCCACTATTTCTATGGCCATTTTCAATAGCTATGTTAGTTTACCAGAGGGTAACCAATATGGAAAGACCGCTTGGTAAAAAAAAATATAAAAAGCGGTGTTCGGATTGAGCATGGAAAGCGGGTCGACACTTTCCAAGGTAAAGAGCAGGAGGAGGTACAGCAGCTCATCCAATCTGTAGATTCGGATGGCAACAATGCAGCTTGTCTCAAGTCACGCCATACACAAGTGGGTTTTGATGACCGCGACTGGAATGATACTGGAACCATGTTATTTATGACATTTTATGACCAAGTGTTGGTTGACCATATAAACTAGTCGTCTTTCTTAAGTGTAGAAACATGGGCATTTTCGCTTGCTTTTGTGGTTCCAATCGGCCTGAGGTCATTGATTTTGACGAATTCAAGGCCAGCAGTAGTCAGAAAAAATGAACCAGCTTAAGTTTTTTCTGAATGACCCATGCCGGGTTCCCGGTATGACTCGTCTGGCAGCACGTGGTCTTCAGATGAGGCAAGTGCACGCCAGCTTTAACAGATTTTAACAGTGTGGAGGATTGTGTAGAGGTATTTCGCAGCGACTTTCAGGAACTGGTTCAGAGGATAGATGAGAAGTTTGCAAGCTTGCGTGCCCAGACAGCACTTCCTGGCCAGCAAGGAAGTTGATGAACTTTGAACAATATTGCAACATATTACGTAATATGAGGTTGCATGTGACACGCACACACACACACACGCATGATAAGTGCTAGATCGTGGAGTTTTTGATCTTGTCCTGGTTTTGACAATTTCTGTGGGTCAGAGTCCAAGGTTACGAACAAGAAGTCGAGCCACCTGTCCAAAATTGCCGCACGTCATTGCATATTTCCACACCATCCGCTCAAGATCAAGGAGACTCTTTCTTTCGAAGATAGTATTAGTTGACTGTTTGTCTTCCACCAGCTCACAGAATACCAAAAAGCTTGGTGGATGGGGAATTGAGTGTAATTGATCATGATGAGGTGCGAGAGGGGGCAAAACATCACACACACACATGTTATAATTATAATATACACGTACACATGTAACTGTATGTATGCGTGAGGTGCCAAGGCAGTTCCACATGGTGGATGACATGGTCATCTCCGCAAGCTTATTGTGTTCAAGTGACAGCTGTACCTCAGCTGCGCTAGGTATGCTATTGCCCGTGGTTTTTCCGAAACAGAGCTCGGTGACTTGGACTGGGATGACCATGACCATCATGACCCGCAGTTGTGATATGGTGTGACATGTTTGTTTTGAATCACCTGACTGGGCAAAAATGCTGCAAGGGAGCTTCCGCGCCATTTTTGAACACTTGGACACGGACAACTCCGGTCAGTTGGACATGGGTGAGGCAGGCTCACTTCCAGAAAGTTTGGTATATTTTTTGGCCATTGACGGTCTGAATCATCCGCAAAGTTCGGCTCACCAGGTGCGGCAATGCCTGAGCATCATGCAGCACTTTGGACATCTTTGGACGCAAATTTCGAGAATTGTTTTGGAAGTGTGGGCAGATGTGGGCAGATGTGGGCAGATGTGGGCAGATGTGGGCAGATGTGGGCAGATGTGGGCAGATGTGGGCAGATGTGGGCAGATGTGGGCAGCTGGGTGTAGGATCTTGATTTTTGTACATTTTTGTCGCCAAGGCACAACTCCACTTGGCAGGCTGGGGATGCTGGGATAAACGGTTTCCAGCTTTTCATGCCTTCGGACCGCAGACGGTGTGGACAGCGCGCAGCCTTGCGGTGAAGGCCTTCGAGCAAACATGGGCCTTGCTGGACAAAGATTCCTCCGGTAGTTTGGAATTCATAGAGCCGCTTGGCTGCTCTCATACTCCTGGACCTGGAAGCAACCTGTCAAAGAAGCGATGTGCAATGATACACTGTGATGTCGACTATCTTATTAGCTTATTATGTGCATATTTGTGCTATTTTACACCGTTTACCTCCCTTCAGAGCACCACGTGTCCGCACCCGGGCTTTGAAGCCTTTCTGGCTGAATCGGCTGAGGTTCATTGATTTTATGAGGCCAGGACCCAGTGAGGTAATTGGAGCACCGCTACGCCGTCGTGCTGCACCCTGCAGGTTTATGCGAGATGGTGAAGGTGTATTTGCCATAGATGCTGCCCCTTGCCAACCGCAACAGATAGAGCAACATCGTAGAAATCATCAGAGATCATCGGTATGATGGCCATCGCAAGTCAAAATCTAAAGGAATGTTCGAGTCAAGAAACTGCTGCGACTTGCCGAGTGCATAGCATCTTCTCACTTAGGATCAGAAGCTGCCCTCGCAAGTAAAGAAGTTAGATGAGAGAACGCTGCGTTCTGTTTTGGGGAGTCTTGGCATGTCTTGCTTGTCTTGAATGTCTTCGCATGTTCTTGTCTGCACGGCCATGCGCAGTGTCCCATCAGCTTTGTTGGCACCTCATGGCTCTCCTAAGGGCCTATGGGCTTTCAAAATCATACCTGTGGGCATTGGACAAAGAAGCTCGGACCGCCTTGAAATTCATGCATATTCAATTATACGTGCAAACTTGATCAAACTTGGACTTTCTGTAATGAGACGGCCTTTGCATGATAGTTTCTTTCTGTTTGTGACAACAGTTTCACACCATTTCACTAGACTATATTTTATTTCACTCTATATCACTCTTTATATCCTGCAAGGCAGTGAACACAACAACTGGGAACTTGATGGAACTCGCGAACCGTGCCTTTCCTCTTGAGGCACAACTTTTGCAGCGCTTTTGCGACAGTCTTGGCGTTACGCAGAACGACTCCCTACAGGCTTCAAAGCTGAGCCAAAACTGTTGATTTTTTCAGGGTCTGAAAGGGTCACCTTCGAAACGCGTCTGGAGATCAACATCACTGGATACCATGCACATACTTTGGCATTGGCATCATGGGAACAATATGGAACAATGATGAACGATGGCCAATTGACCCAGCCATGCTCCTTGGTCTTCTTGAGCTGCGCTGCCACTTGTGATGGATTTCCCTTCCAATCTGACGCAGGAGGTGTTGAAGCTCACGACGCTCAGTGATTTGATCAAGCTGCTTGTCCTAAATTTGCTCGTGACTGCCGGCACTCGGAAGAGGATCATGTCAGATCATATCAGATCATGTTAGATCGTCATACATACCAAATCGTGGTTTATAGTACTGGTATGTACTGGTACTGTATGTACTATGGTACCAGTAGTACCGCGCAAGGCGGTGGCGGAAGTTTCAAAGATAGGACACTATAGGAGAGGCGAGTTGTTGTGATGCATGGATGGCAGAGCGAATCCACTGATGGACCGAAGGGTGGTTGGAGTTGTGTTTTTTGGAATGGTTGCAATGGTTGCAGTGGTCACCTCACCCACAACTGCTGGATGCAGTGTGCTGTAGTGCAGCTGTAGTTGTAGTTGTTGTGTAGTGGAGTTGTAGTTGTAGTGTAGTGTAATTAGTGTAGCGTAGCAGTTGTAGTTGCAGTTGTAGTTGTGGTGTGGTGCAATGAGTGTAGTGTAATATAATGTAGTGTAGTGTGCTGTAGTGTTGCCTTCTGTAGTGTAGTCTAGTGTAGTTGTAGTTGAACCTGTAGCTGTAGTTGTAGTTAGTGTAGTGCAGCGTAGCGTAGTGTAGTGCAGTGGAATTTGTATAGTGTAGTGTGATGTAGTGTAGTTTTACTTGTGCTTGCAATTGTAGTTGTAGTCAGTGTAGTGTAATTAGTGTAGCGTAGTGTAGTGTAATGTAGTTTAGTTGTAGTTGTTGTCTAGTGTGTTTTAGTGTAATTAGTGTAGCGTGGCGCAGTGTCATGTAGTGTAGCTGTAGTTGTAGTTGTAGCCGTAGCCGTAGCGGTAGCTGTAGCAGCAGCAGTTGTTGTTGTTGCTGCTGCTGCTGGTGGTGTTGTTGTTGTTGTTGTGTAATTAGTGTAGTGTACTGTAATTAGCGTAATGTAGTGTAATTAGTGTACTATAGCCTATAGCGTGGTTTATTAGCATATGCATATGTAATTGTAGTTGTAGTTGTAGTGGTAGTGTAGTTGCAGTTGTAGTTGTAGTTGTAGTTGTAGTTGCTATCTATCTATCTATCTATCTATCTATATACCTATCTACCTATCTATCTATCAATCTATCTATCTATCCAACTAACTAACTAACTAACTATCTATCTATATACCTATATATCTATCTATGTACCTACCTATCTATCTGTCTGTCTATCTATCTATCTATCTGTCTGCAAGTTTGAAAACGAAGGTATTCTGCAAGCCTTCCTCATTTTTTTGACTTCAACACCAACTTTGGAACTTGACAACGTCAGAAGCGCAGCAATTCTGCGAGACTTCCTCAACTTTTGAACTTAATTATAACGTCAAAAACGAAGCAAGTCTGCGAGACTTCCTCACTGTTTGAAGTTGGCAGCATCAAAAACGAAGCAATTCTGTGAGACTTCCTTCAGAAATGGAAATTTGCGTGCAGCGCTGACGGCCTCGTGCCAATGCGTTTTGCGATTTTTCCAATCCATTTGTCTAAACTATTGCGCCTGCCACGAAAAAGTGATGCCAGGTCATACGAAGTGCCGCACCTGTCACGCAAAATCATCTCAGCAACCTGAAGATCTCAGGAAATCACCGCCCGGACCTCCTAACAGCTCTGATGAAGATGTCTCTTTGTACTGCGCCCAGTGTTTCGCGACTTTCCTACCTTTTTGCGCACCTGCGTCTTCTTTCTTCTGACTCCTTCTCTCCTCTGATCTTCTCTCTTCTGCTCTTCTCTTCTCTGACTCTTCCCACCTCTGCTTTTCCATCTGTCATCATCTGTCCATATTGTCGGAAATTTGACTTCTAAACTTCCTTCGATAGCAGAAACATATAATATAGACTAATTAATATATTAATCGAAATTTTATATCGAATCATAGATTTGTTATATTTTTACGAAAGCCACCCTACAGTCGGGCTTGCAAACGATGTGAGTATTAGGGGGTCTGAGGGCAAAGCGCCGAAATTAGGGGGTATGGAGGCGTCTTTTTGAAGATTCTTTTGCAGGTCATGTACCAGGCGGCAAGTTGCTCACGGCAAGGTATCGATCCCCCGTCCGTGGATTGGATGGGGCTTCGGTATAGACATGCATGACGTGAAAGCAAGAAAAAATCGATAAACCAAAGGGAGGACACTAGGCGGGAGGTTGCAAGGAGAGGAATATGGTTTTTCAATTTTCACTGTTGCAGGTAATTTGCGTTTGCTGGCAAGCTCCGCGCAATTGTTTGCTGGAAAAAAATGACAAATCTTGTACTGCCAGTGGACAGGGAATTTCTGCACGAACGTGTGACCATTGAACAAGCACCCAATAAATTGATCTGCGCAAACCAGAGGTATGCTTGATGCTGTCCACCAATATTTTCGAAAACCGCGATGATGTAATTTTCAGGAATCCTTCAATGGTGCGTATCTCTATTTTAGTGATCTTTAGTGTCTGTTCCGATTTGCTCCCCGTTCTTTTTGCACGCTCTTGCACGAGGGGTGGTTTTACTATGTTTTATTTCTAATTTCTATGAACCAGAAGATTGACAAGGCACTGCACCGCGGCACTCATAGTAGGACGCGCATGTGGCAAACATGGGCAAACATAGAAAGAAGGAAGGAAGGAAGGAAGGAAAGAACGAACAAAAGAAAAAAAAGAAAACATAAAAAAAAACAAAAATAAAAAAGAGAAAAAAAGAAAAGAACAAAATCAAAAAGAAAAGAAAGAAAACAAGTCAAAAAGAAAAGAAAAAAAGAAAAGAAAGAAAAAAAACAAAAAAAAGAGAGGAAAGAAAGGGGAAAAAATGAAGGAAGGAAACAAGGAAGGAAGAAAGAAAAACAAGATAAGGACTTTGTCGGAAGGGTAAGCTTAAAGCGGGATAGAACCGCAGGAGTCATAAAGGTCCCGAAACGGAGCCGCCGCGGAAGGCGGCAATCCGTGGATTGTTCAAAGGCAAGAAAAAAAGGGTCGAAAACGAGTCGGTCTTAAGGGTCCCGAAATGGAGCGGGTGGAAAGGCAACATTGAAAAGGGTTGTTGTAGACAAAATCTTGGCCGCTTTGGTTCCCCCCTTCTCCGGTACATTATATTACATTATATTATATTATATTATATATTATATTATATTATATATTATATATTATATATTATATTATATTATATTATATTATGTGTTATATGATATGATATTATATTATATTATATTATGTATTATATTATATTATATTATATTATATTAATTATATTATATTATATTATATTATATTATATATTATATTATATTATATATTATATATTATATATTATATATTATATTATATATTATAATATATTATATGATATGATATGATATGATATTATATTATATTATATTATATTATGTGTTATATGATATGATATTATATTATATTATATTATGTATTATATTATATTATATATTATATTATATTAAATTATATTATATATTATATTATATTATATTAAATTATATTATATATTATATTATATTATATTATATTATATTATGTGTTATATGATATGATATGATATTATATTATATTATATTATATTATGTATTATATTATATTATGTATTATATTATATTATACTATATGATATTATATTATATTATATTATGTATTATATTATATTATATTATATTATATAATAATTTATAATTAATTTGTATATAGTATATATATATACAATATCTAATTATATGCATACTATTGTTGTTGGACTGGTTGGTCGTTTTTTTTCCCTTGCTGACATTTGAAACTCCGGTTTTCCCTGAGGTTGGCCAAGGCGCAGCCCCGCTGGGTGGGGCACAAACTTTGGTCACAGAATGTCACAGCAAGGGGGATAGAGCTGGCAGGAGAAGGGGGAACAACTGGAATCTTGGCTGCTAAAACTCCTGATGCTTCTGCAACTCTTTCTCCCTTTGGGATAACACACCTGAATGCTTTCTCCTGGTCAGATCTCCCGATGTTTTCCATGGTTTACCTATCTCAGAATAGGTCGTTGATATATGTTACTGTAAAATGTGGCCCTGGTCCTTGCCTTGGCATGCTCCAAGGCAAACCTGTTGCTTTAATTCAGCTGTGATCGGTGAGATAAGAGAAGTGGGATCCGCATCGATTGCCCCTGCTGTCCGCATCTGTCCGCTGTGCTTTCCAACACAACCCGCGGTTTGAGCAGAAAATGCTCACCGTAGAAGTACAGCGAGTGCTTCGCTCGGCCAAGCCGAAAGAAACAGAGACAGAGGCGGAGGAAGAAATCGGTATCAGCACACAGCTTGCTTTTTGGGCTTGAATACCTACTGCACATCAGCAAGATGAGAGGGGCAAGGGACAAGGAGCAAACAGCAGAATCGAGGTTTTCACTTTGTTTGGTGGTTTTAGGCTTTAGGTTTTGGATGGCTTGGGAGTTTCGGGAATCCATTAATTAAGTAATTTATCAATTTAAATTTATCAATTAAATATGAATTTATATTGTTGGATAAAGTTATATAGAATATATATGTATATATATAATGTATATATATATATACACATAGAATCATTTGTTTAATCTTATGGTATTCGCTCTGTTAGCACAGAATCATATCCCATTTCTGGTCGCCATTGCTCAGATTCGCAGGTCTGTCAAACATGTGTTGCACACATGGGCAACTGGCTGGGATCGGATGTGGCGCGCTGAGGCCCTCGGGTGACGGCAGTGTGCATCACTCAGCTAGTTGGGTGGGCATGTCAGCGGCTGAACACTGAAGTCATACAATGCTCACGCGATGGCCACCTGACATCACGTGACCATTCGTCATCAGGTTGCCAATTCAGGACCCAGTGGTCGCTATGCAACTGACTTTGAGGCGTGGCCCTGCTGGGTGGACTTGGAAAATCCGCATTGACACTGCAAAGTGCTTTTCATGCCATCTCCTCATTTGAAGGATTCCGAAACTACCAAGATCTACCATGATCTACCAAGATCTACCAAGTATCTATGACTTCCACGTGGTGTGCATGCATCCACAGCACGGATCTAGTGAATCCCTAAAGGGATACAATTCAGTGCCCTTCTATGACAAGGAGCTGCGTCTCTTGGGCAAGGGTGGCTTCGGTACAGTGACAAAGGCTCGGGTCTGAGCTTCCTTCCCAGATGATCCCAGATCTTTTGCTAAGAGCTGGAGGAAAGTCTCAGCGTTTGGAACCATTGGAATATTTTGGAACCAATTCGCACGGTGAGATGATCAGGGCTTTTCAAGACAAGCAATCCCGGTAATCCTATGTCCAGCCAGGTAAGGCATCGGGTGGATCGTTCACGGCTAAGGGTGAACTTGCGATGCTCCATTTTTGCACATTGATTCGGATTTGCGTAGATTTGCCCGAAGTAATTATGAGTGCCTATTTATGCCAATTTGCTCTCCACGTGCGATTGGTTGAAGATACTGTGGTAATGTGTGGTACGTATTTAATTTAATGCATGCATGGTTTTTACAGCACGTACTACATGGAAATCGCACGTTTTGGAAGCTCCTGAGGTCAGTTGTATGCCATCAAACGTCAGATGCCTCAGCTGCCCAGCCGAGCTGCTTGGTGAGTCTTTTCAGTCCAAAACATCACATCAGATCCCCAGAAATACGGTGGAGATAGAGGATTGTAACCTATGGCATCTTTTTGATGCTTTTCAATGTTAATGTGTATGTTCATGTCTGCGAGAGCATATGCCTGAACATTAGACCGATGGATTAGATTAGATTAGATTAGATTAGATATGATTAGATGAGATGAGATTCGACAGATAGATAATGATAGATAGATATGCCGTAATATCCTTAGAGATCCCTTGGAAAGGATCCTTGGAGATCTATGATAGATTCTCCTTACGTCTTAAACCCTTGGAGATCCCTCTTGGGAAGGCATGGAGCTGCGGGGCTCAGCTGTGGAGCGCGAGAAATTGCTGCAGGAATGCGCCCTGCTGCCGAGGCGCTGAGCTTGTCGCATGGTATGTTTTTTTCAACAGGAACTTCATGGGGAATTTTTGGATATTTTTGGGCAATTAAATGACATTCATATGGTAATTGATATAAACTGATATGAATATAAATGTAATTTTCCAGGATCCCCAATGGGATTGCGAGTACTATAGTAACAATGGCAAGTCTTGCAGTCGGTTCCTAAACCAGTTCCCAGCTCCGACTCCTGTTTATAATTAATGGTTGGAGGATAAGTTGAGACGTCCCAGGGGCGGAGTTGAAAAAGGCGGGAAAGACAGTAAATACTAAAAACAAGTAACAGTACTAAGATGTACTAAGTAATAGTCAGCAAAGAGGCAAAGATGATGCCAGCGTTTTGAGCTACAGTAGTGGGAATACCAACCAGTCAGTTTGCCGTTTTTCTTCGTTGTTTTTGATTATCCCATGTCGTGACAGTGAAAGCACTGCGGGCAGGCTTACTCACATGCACATCGTCCGGTACTACCAGGCCACATGGAGCTGTGCCCAGGTTGATGTGATCAGAGAGGCCTTTGTCCTTCCGAATCAGAAAGCTGGGGCAACGGAGACGGATCGATCCACACTCTGAGTGAAGTGTTGGGTGATTCTTGGGCTCAAGCTAGCCCAAGGCACAGGCACAGTCAGGACATCATTATATATATACACATAAGATATACACATACAATTATTAACTTTATATGTATATATCTATATAGTTAGACATTTTATATCATATATAATCATATGTAGCACACATACACACAAACAAACAAACAAACCAACCAACCAACCAACCAACCAACCAACAAACCAACAAACAAACAAACAAACAAACAAACAAACAACTAAATAAATACATAAATAGATAAATAAATAGATATATAAATAATATATTATATAGATATACACGTAATCTATCTATCTGTCTGTCTATCTATCTTTATATATATATATACACATACATATCCCTCAATTTGTGCAAATGCTTGACACCAGCCCCTCCATTTTGGAGAACCTATCCTACATAACATAGTTGAAAGAAGCCCTGTCTTGTTGGGCATTTTGTAGCAGCATGTAGCGCTCATGTCCTTGGGGCGATGCAACTCGGAACCTGTCTTGCGCAGAACTGCGAGAGATCCTGCAGAAAAGCGTTTTCTGCATTTTCTGGATCATTATTCCCAAAGGCATAGGCCTGATAGGCCTGTAAGTCGGGCACAGACACAACCGCATCGTGTCATTGTGACAGATGCCTCCGATGCCAGAATCGATCGTGGACTGCGCCATACGCCCCAGCCATCCTTGCCGTCGGCGAAAAGGCCCAAATCTGGTGCACCTGTCAGTCCTATGACCGCGCTCTTGAGGCGACCCAGCTCTGCATTGAGCAGGGACTCACCTGGTAAAATCACAGCTATCCGACAAAGGGTGCTATCCAAGATAGCCATCGGAATTCATGTTGCCCTTTTAAATGCCAAAATCAGTCAGAAACCTGGAGAAATCCAGCTAGAAGAGCCGATGAGAGAAGCAACAGTTGAACATGTCCAGCGAATCTATCGCCAATTCCTGAGATTCAAAGCGCTGGAGTCAGACAGGGCAGCTGAAGCTCAGTACTTACATCAAGTGAAGCTCGTCCAAGAAGCCTGGTGTGAGAACTCGGGGCCGCAGGCTGCGCAGGACGACTCTTTCAGTCGGAATCCGTGGGATTCAGAGAGTGAGAACCCACTGTCGCGTATGCGCTGGGCCACATTCATCCATTGGTTGGAACAAGAAGCCAGTTGTGGAATACAACAGACGTATCGACGGTCAGTGGCTGCTCTATTGAGAGGAGTCAAGCTTTGGAGGCAGATGTGTGCCAGTCCAGAGCAAGCTGAGGGGATCTCGCTTGGTTTGCTACTTTCATGGGCGTTCCCTTCTTCATCCTCTGCTAACATTGCTGAAATGCTATCATGGCTCGCACTCAATGAACTTGAAGCCTGGTAGCAATGGTAGCAACGTGAATCAAGTAGCTTTAGACAACACTCTATCCGTGGAGTTCCCCCACGTCTTTTGAGAGATCATTGTTGCGTGACCGAGGAAAGCATCCGTTGGCCATCGCCAAGACTGATAGATGACGAAGAAAGAAAACAATTGGAAAGGACCCGAAGGTTACGCGAAGGCTTGTATAAACTAAACATAACTAAACCATTTTGTCCACTTGAAACCTTAAACCTGCTCATTCAAGATCATTCAAGCCAGTTCTTTCAAAACATCGTGGAAAGGGGCAGCGTGGCCGTACTGGAAATCCTATTCGCTCCACACATGACAACTGCTGCAGGATTTTCCACAAGGTCTATGCAAAGGGCCGCGCAGCCATCACTGCGGATGACATTGCTGGTGGTGACTTTCCAGACCGACAAACCCAGATCATGACATTAGTCGACTCTCGAATGCATGAGGCACCCATTACACGATGTTGATCAAGTAAGGCAGGCGAAGTGATATGAGGTGACACAGCAGGACATCCTCATTATATCTCAATATTTCAGATCCATATCATATGTATTTAATATATTTATATATATATATTATTATATATTATATACATTGTTTTGCATTGTTTGTGATGTTTGTGCGGCTTCTTTTATCATCTTTTATCTTTTTTTTTTCGGAGCCTACTCAAATTGTGTTTGTTCTGATGTAATTTGAGTCGCTTCTGCTACCAGGACTCTCGCCTTGCTCGACATGTTTTTGGTGACAAGAAGCCGCTTGGAAGTGATTGGGACTGGTGAACTGGCAGTGTGTCAAAACAAACGACCTCAAAAAGGTGGGAGGATGAACGTGGATGAACCAAGCGAAAAATGGGTGGACAACATCCCAAATATATACTTGATTATACTTGTATGGACGCTAAGCGTGCTGTTTGAAATGATTGCTGTATACTTACTCAATCTTAATAATTTTTTCGTGTTGTTTTTGTTATTTATTCATCTTTCTAGTTATTTTTTCCTTGTTGATTTTATTTAGATCTATTTCTTCCTTTTTTGTTCTCCATCTGCCAGGTGAGGGTCTCAGTCTCTAGATTTCAACAAAGCACTGCGCCAGGTACACGCACAGGCACAGGTACGCAACCCACCCACACACACACTTGCTCAGAATTGTCTTATCGAATTATGAAGGTGTAATGCATCGTACCTGCAAAAGCGCAAAACCAACCAAATGACACGATAGAACATACCGAGAAGACGTATAATATATATATATGGTTAAATATACCGTAACCGTATATACATATATATATATGATTATATATATATGATTATATATATATGCGCAATAAATTCACAAAAGACATTGACTGTATAAACCAACAGCGATAAACTATAAGTCCCCCATATGCGCCCAGGGACGGGGCTATATATACACGCACACACACACACACACATTCACACACACATATATATATAGAAACAAGGTAACAGGTATCGCCGTCGTTACTGACGTCGCGTTTTTTGGCTTGCGACATTTCAAGTCGTCAATGGTTTCCAATGTGGCGCATCACCTCGGGCACCATTTGCCAGAGATTGAGGCGATTGTTGTATCGCCACTGCCACTAGTAGATCCAATTCCACAAGTCCCCATTCAAGAGAATGGTCTTTGGATCCTTTGTACGTATTGATTTGCTTGGGAATAAAATCTTTACAGTAATCCCAGCATTTGTCCAAGATCTGAATTCCTGCTTTCTGGGTCTGACCATTGCGTCTTCTAACATTTCTGGAAAATTCAAGCAACGCGTGTCTCACCTGAAAGAACCCTATGTCAGCTTCTCGAGCTGCACGAGCCCTTGCTTTATGAACATCACGTAGCGTAGCAATGACGTTATTGCATGAAGTAGCGTTCACTGACTTTATTGCCCCACCCGACCCCACCCCACCCCAGATGTAAAGACACACGGTATGTAAAAACGTCGTTTTCCTCCACGTTGTAACGCCGGCGATAGCATAAACAAGCAGGTACATCAGCCAGGCGTCCCCAGCTGATTTCACCAGCAAGACTGGATGGGCTGCTTGCACCCCCCCTGCAATGCATAGAAAAAAATGAAGTTTTCCGTTAATGCTGACGTTACACACGCGCACACACACACTTGCTCAGACTTGTCTTATCGAATTTTGATGTGAAATGCATCCGTCGTGCAAAAACACTTCAGTTACACCTGACAGGAGGGTTTGGTGTGGAGTGAAAGGAAAATTCCTTCGTCGCCACCTTGAAGAATAGAATGAAATCCTTCGATTCCTTCGTCGCCACCTTGAAGAATAGAATGAAATCAATAGAAGCCAGGAAGAATCCCACCACATAAGCAGAAAAATAGAATGGACAAGAGATTCACCGCAGTCTCCGATTGCGCCAACTGTGCAGAAAGACAAAGGAGAAGTCACCTTCATCCGTTCATGTGCTTAATTCAAAATTCTGAAGCGATTCTCGTGGTAAAACGTCATGGTGGTTCTTGGGTTAGCCACATTCCATCACGATTCAAAAATTGCAGGTACGTTTGCACAGCAACTTGGATAGGTCTTCGTTGGCCAATGCCATCCAAGTGCCCATGGGCCCCCTGCTTAAAGAAAATACCATGAGAATACTGAAGCGAAACCACACCGAAGAAGAATCTTGCACAAAGAACTTGCGATGAATCAACTCAGGCGACATCACGCCGAAGGAGCTTCCATTGAAATTCACAGGTAACAAGTTTTACATCTATTGAGATGGTTCACACACACACGCACTGCTGAATGAGTCTGACGGTCCAACAAGGAGCTTTGTAATGATGGTGACTTCGGCGCTTTAATGTCTCCTAGGTGAACGTCCTGACATGGCAAATTCTAGAACAAAATTATGCAGAACCACAGGGTTGGACAGCATGAAAAGTATGAAGACATGTGCAACAAGTGTCGTGTGTGTGTGTAGTACTTCAATTGCACCACCGCCGGGAGCCAGGGTTTCAGGCATACGAGCTTCCAACTTTGGAGATGTCATCTTTGTTGATCATGCCGAGATCCTGTTGAGGAAGAACAAGTACATGGCGTTGCTTGTTCTTGATGGTGCATCAAGCTTACTTTGGGCTACGGCACAAACCTCACTGAGCAACAAAGAGACAATTCAGGCTCTAAGGTTGTGGACTGATGAAAACAATTGTATGCCTAAAGCCGTTGTAGGTGATGAAGCCTTTTTCCAAGAAGACTTTCTGACCTACCACAGAACTCACGGTATAAAGGAATGTCCCTGTGGTTCAAGAACCCCATGGCCAAACAGAGCTGAATCATCTGTGAGACTTTTCAATCGACAATGGCGTCCAAGAACCTGGAAGATGATAGGTTCAGAGGAGTGACTGTCAGAGAAGCTGTGACATGTATATATTGTTTGGGCCAGAAACACTCAACTCACTGTTAGTGGTTATTCACCTTTGGAAATTGCCACTGGTAGACGAACATTGGATCTTTTGGATGTTGAAACTTCTGATCCTGCCCAACTGAGCGTTGAACCCTTAGCTGAGGACAGAACACAACAAGAACTGCAAAGGTTAGCGTTGAAGGCGCATCAGAAAGCAAGGCAAGCAGCTGGCCTTGTTCATGTTGGCAACTCTGTCATGCGCGTCAGTCAATCTAAGATCAGACGTGACCATGATGAATGGCATGGTGTTGCTGTTCCTGGACTTGACAATCCAGATCCTGTTCCACTTGCTGTGGAAGATGCCGATGACTATGAACCAGACATAGCTGAACATGCTGAGGCTTACTTTGGTGAGCAAACTCACATGATCAAGGCCCAGGTGATCCAGAATTCAAGGGTACTGTTGAATGTTTGAGTCGTGAAAACAAACATTTTTTTCTGGAAGCAGAAGATGATGCACTTGTTGAATGTACCACCCAATGGCTCAACATGTATGACAAGAATCTCAAAAAGAGAATCGTGGAAAGAGTTGTCAAGAACGAAGAAGAAGACATAGATGTTGAAGATGATCAAGCTGAACCTGAGGAGCCTAAGATACCACCACCTGAGAAGGTGAGCATGGAGATTCAGACAGATGATTCATTCATGTCTGATCAAAAGACTGGAAGCTCTCATCTGGAAGCTCTCAGAAGGGAGAGGAGCCAGAGGAGAAGAAAGATGATATTCAACATGATGACACGGCTCCAAAGAAAGAACCTACCACACGTTTCTATCATGGTCAGGATATCACTGGAACTGAAGATGATAGAATTTTTCGAAAACTTCCAAGCGTTTTGCCAACAACTACTATGATGAATGGTCAGGTTTCTACAATCAAGGTTATCCAGCTTCAAGTCAGCATCCATGTTCTGGCATGTTAAGTACAAGGGGACCAGCGAACCACACAAAGACCACTGGCACACCGACTCTGACAAGCAATTGATGGAAGCTTACATTGCCAGACATAAGGATGAATACCCACTGTCATTGTTAGAGGACCTTCGCAAGGATGTAGCCTATGGTTTCGCAGGCCCTCGTCTTCATCTTCGAGCACGTGAATCAGTTGAACGATGGACACATGAAGCAGAGAAACGCTTCGTAGATGACTTCCAGACTCTCTCTCTCTCTTGTTCTCACTGACTATGTGGAGCAACATGGTTGTTTATCATATTGTGTAGTCCTTCAGTGTCTTGCATCACGGTATTTGCGAGCTGGCATGGTTGATCCAGAGTTTTTGGAGAAGGACCACCCTTATCGATCCTCACCACAATTTTCATTGATGTTCTGGAACTTAGGACGGTCACGTTTCAACAAATGTCCATTGCCTGAGAAGCTTCAAAAGTTTGAAACGCACATCTAGTATGAGATTGACCGTGGCCATGAGAAGGTAGGGGACAAGCCACAGTTTAACAACTACTTCATCAACGTTGTCAAGAATCTTGGAGCACATTTATTTGTGAATTGCGAGGCGCAGAGCCTCTATCCTCACAGGTCCTTACTTGAAGAGGAGCAATTCAAGACATGCATGCTTCAATGATTATTGTGACCTTATGGTTGCTGCTCGTGTGGGAAGAGACGGATATGTTCGACAAATTGCTGGTTACAAAACTGGTGAAGATGACACATGTGCCAGATACGTATCATGGGCAATATTTGAGATTTTGTGGGGCACAGCTTTGAACAGAGACACCGAGGAAGAGGAGCCCCTCACTCGAGCAAGGGTGTCCATGTGTCGTGTGTGTGTGTGTGTCTATCACGTCGGACAAGAAAATGTTTCCAAGTCGCAAGGAAGCTGCGGAGAAATTCTTGCATGTATGTCCTGATAGTGTATCCGTTTCCAAGTTGACGTGATCGCAGGGGACCGAAATAAAGCTTGCTACCTTGTCACTCGAAGGTCGGAGGCTGTCCATCATATGAAGTCAGCTTGCTTCAGTTTTGGATCGGTCGTATGATTCATACAGCCACCCAGTCGAGGATCAAGAATTACGGAGAGGCACCGGCCGTTAGGGTTAAACACTTTATTTCTTGTTCCTACAAGGACCTCGTATTCTTGGCGAAAACTCTCCGACGAGTCAAAACCGAAACTTATACTCCTGAACTGGCCAAGAAAACTGAGAGTGTTGGCGACTGTTGCATGATGTCCATCTGTGAATGGGGACACGCAAGGTTTGCTTTTGAGGAGGATGTCAATGATTTTGATGATCAAGACCACATGGACTTTGTTGGTGAATTTTCTTTTTCAGTCAATGAAACCTGTTTATCTTGTGACCACAACATCTTCATGGCTGCCCCAACCGACACTGATGCA